ATTTTCTTTTATATATATATATCAAATATTAACAAATTCTTTTAGGCTTTTATACAACTAAAGATGAAACACCATCATCAGTTAACACACATTACACACATACACAGCCAGATCTGTTTCCCAGAGAGACTTTATGGATTTCAATGTTCGTTTTGTCCTTCTTGCTTTTCTCTCATCTCATCCCATATTTTATTTACACCTAAGCTATTAATAATAACTAAACTACTAATATCATCTTGGACTGAACGTGGCCGAAACTGCCTCCTCTATAATACAAGTAGCTAAGTATAAAATGATAACCTTCACTGGATCACGTATAATAGTTTAATTACCGACTACCAACTATGCAATGAGACAATTACTCGTTTATTTGAAGTTAGAGATCTTAGGGCTTCACTCACTCACTGTCACATGTTTCAAATGTTTTTAATATCGACATCTGCTCGTCTGAATTTCGAAATATTAAGACTTCCATGTAAATATTGTTTATATTTATTAATCAAGATATAATTACCAACTGTAATTTCCACAAAAATACATATACTTGCTTATTTGATCTCTAAAGGCTATCATTTATAACCTCAATTTAAAAAGGAAAAGTATTACGATTAATATTTTCTGTTAATTTCAGATCTTCACGACCATCATATGGTGACGACCCTGTGAGCTATGTATAGCTAAAGCGTGATGGGAAAATTTGTATTGTAAAGAGTAAAATTTGCTCAGAACATAAAGTACATGCGAAATTATAAGCTGTCTTAGTAGTGGTGGACGAAGATGAAGAAGTTGTTATCTCTGTGCAATGTCATAATTGGGTTGCGTCTGAAGGAGGCTGCAAGCAGTCAATAGCATTTCTTATGTAGATCCACTGGAGGAGTAAAGAGCCAAAGATAAATTATTAGTCAAATAGAGTTAGAGACCAGAGAACAGCACCATAACAACCTTTGGTTTGAACTGCGTTATGGTAGAATTACAGCATCTCGAGCTTATGAATTTAGTCGGTGTAAGAAAAATGATAGAACTCTTACAGCATTGATAATGGCAGAAAGTATTCCAGACAACGCTGCTAAGAAACGTGGTGGGATATTAGTAAACGAAGTCCGAAAAACTGTCAGTGTGCAACTTGGCAAGAAAATAAAGAAGTGTGAACTCATGTTATCTAATGAGTACTTCATGATAGCAGGATCACCGGATGGGACCTGTGAGGATAGTGTTATTGAAATTAAATGCCCCACAATTGATAAAACATATCAAAATTATGTTAAAAATGGAAAACCAACTGAAAAATTTAATACACAGATGCAGATGTAAATGTATTTGACAGGGCTACAAATATAGCACAAATAAGAAAGTGGAATTTATGTGTGACATTTATTGAAACATATATGCATCAGTTTCTCAAACTTATAGCTGATTTGTGGAACGAAAAGGTGTGTCCAGTATTATACCAAAGTACATGGAAATAAAATTCACAAAATTAAATTTCTTAGTTTTATTTAATAAGTGAGTTTTGCAAATTTACAAAAGCACCCGCAATTACAATAACTTTAACATATTAAATTCTCCTAAACGTTTAATTACCCTTTCTACATGAATACTCAGACTAGCTATCTGCTTAGTTTCTTTTACTTCACTTTTAAGGAATTTGGTTCCAGTGACAACACTTGGAGGTCGTACAAGTNTCATTTTCTCGTAAAATTCTTAATTTTTCTGCTAGAGTTCGA